GCGAGGTGGTATCCCATCAGGCCCTGCAGCCTTATGGATTTTCACCCTGCTCAGAGTCTTATGCACGTCCTGCTCTGAGAGTTTCAGAACAAACTCACCCTGCACACTTGATAATTTCATTATCATTTAACTGTCAGTTTCACTGTCAACCGTCATTATTGTTGGCATTTTACAACAACATGCCTGGTTTTCTCTGTGCAATTAAGACCACTCAAGTTAGTCAGTTGAGTGCTGAATGTCCATCAAGCATCTCAGTTCCGGTTTTGCATTAAGAACACGCTGACCTGGATGAACAAACACCAGAGAATACCAGAAAGGCAGATCTGTTCTACTGTGCATCTTTCAAAGATGTTTACCATAATACCAAGAGTGAGAGAGGTGGACTATAAAGCCGGTTCAGAACAGTTAATCCTCTTTATGCAGAATATCTGTGCAATACCAGACCCTCTACAACATCTCTGCCTGTGTGTTATTACCAGTCTCTCCAGATCTCCCCTGCCTCACTTGGCCATTCTGTGCTGGTTCATCAGCACTCTTCAGATGGTCAGTCTTTTGTCAAAGTTTATTTATGTTGGGATGCCTTCTCTTCATAAACACGCAGAACTAAAAATCACTGAGCTATGGCCAGGTTAAAACTTGCCCAAAACACAGGTGTTTTTACTTTTGTGCGCACTTAATGACGTGTGACACAATGATGTATGAAAGGTCACTTGCAAACAACCTCATGCCTATGAGATCCTCATCTCCCTGTGTTCCTGAGAATGACATTGATTGGGCGTACATACCAGTATCTGAGCACAATCCACTAATTCAGAAATGTTATTCCAGTTTTTAAAAATTAGTATTTTCCTATGCACACATAATACTGTAGATAATCGAAGTGAGTTATACACATTAGGTGTGACTACAAAATACTTTGTTCTTAATAAACACACCTTCCAAAGAAGAACCCCAAGAAAGAGTCTGTGGCAATTAGGTTCTAATCTACAGTTTAAACAGAGTCTGTATTTTTTAAATGAATCCCTCATTACATTTTATGCCAAAGGTTTAACTCATACTGTTTGTGTTATGAGCTTCTCGCCTTCTCTTCAGGCTATACATGAATGTTACACATAAAAATGTGTCACAAGATATTCACCTCCATAAGCATACTGAATCTGGGTGGATGTTATTTTAAGTTAATCTTTTAAAAATTTCAATTTTAAATGCAATATCCTTTAAGATGAAAGTCATTAGGCTCAGAGTCCTATAGACCGGGAGTCTGGGAGGCATTTGTGTGCAATGATAAAGATAGCCAGTGGAGGAATGTATTGTTCAATTGAGGTCACACATACCCAAGGGACATATTCTGCGCTTTGTTGGTTGAAGGCAGAACACTTAGATTTATGATACTAAAATGAAATTCATATGATGCCATATAAATCTTTTGATGAGTTTCTAATATATTTTTAAGAAAATATGATTTGGTAAAATGTGCGCAGACCACTTATATTGCACACAACCATTTTGGTAAACTGTGTTGTTTACTCTTATTTGCAAGTCAACAGTACAGCACCAGAAGTGAATATATCCTACAGCCGTAAGCATACAGTATGTCTGTATTTGGTCAGAAGACTGAGGAGCTGTCAATAGTTTTAAATATTATTTATGAGGACGTACTGTATTCTTTTTCTGTGAACTCACAATAAATATAGTTTATATGAGATATTAACTGATATACTGATAAACCCATATTTATTTAAAGATAAAGATATTATTGAAAAAAACATGAATATTCCAACAAGGTACTGTATCATGTTTATTATAAATCTTTACATGTAGTATTATCATACGATTACAGTTCCTACTAAAATGAAAGTATGGCCACAAATACCAGTATACAGTAAATAAAATGGATTTTCTAGAGTATTTTGAACAATACATAAAATATGTTAATAATCTGTATAATTTACTTTTGTAAGAGTTAGGCAGATGCTATTTGTACATTTCAGCCAAGCATTCCATTTTTAGATGCGTCATTTACAAGTATTCTGGAAAAGTGCTCTTTGGGTGTGTTTTTTTTATAATATTGCAGAGCTCACACTGTGGTGGACAATTGCAGCCAGTTTCAGGCAGGCTGCTTGAGTGCACTCTAATGAAGTCTAGTATGCGTCTGCTGTGACTTCAGTCGTTATTTAAATTGACCACACCTCAGCCTGACAAACAACAAAAACATGTTCACATTAAATAGTAATACTGTACGCCATTGTTAAACATTGCAGAGGTATTGTGCTCAACTTTTAATATTGTGATCTTCTGTGAACACCATTTACTAGACACATTCTTTGGAGAATGGTCAAAAATATTCTGTAAACCATTCAGTTTCAAGGCAGACTTATATGAGACATAATCAAATGACATTGGCAGGGGGCTGCACAGTGTTGGAGTGGACAGCATTGCTGTCTCGCAGCACTGGAGCCCTGGGTTCAATTCCAGGGCCTGGGCTGTTATCTGCGTGGCATTTGTCTGTTCTTGTCGTGTTTGTGGGGGGTTCCTGCCACAGTCCAAAGACCTACTGGTATGTTAAGTGAGTTCTGGGAAAACTGGAATAGTTTTCAGGAAACTAAAAGTATGAATGATACCATATACCACAGTATGAACATGTGTGTATCTGTTTGTGTGCCCTGTGATGGACTGGCATCCCATCCAGGGTGTATCCTGCCCTGTGCCGGAACCCTGCTGGGATAGTTCCGGCTCCCCCATGACTGACTTCAGTGGTGGAAAAAGTGATCCACCCCCTATTTGTAAAGCACTCGCAAGAGCCTTTGGATTTAAAAGACTTTTATAAATCCAAGGAATTATTTTTTATTTGAGGCTGCTTGACAAATTTAAATAAAAGAGAACAGCATTTTTATCTAGATCTCCACTGTCCTTGAAATTAAGCTCCACAGAAATACCCTTCTCCACCAAACACAGTGAGCAGTAGCTCTGTATTGACTCACTGCAAGATGTTGAAAACACTTTTTGGTTAAGCATGTGTCTTATAGGGTATAGATTAAGTAATCCGTCTATTTTCTGACCTCTTCATTCAGTTCAGTCGCAGGGGAGCTGGAGACTCTTCCGGGGAGCGATGGGAGCAAGGCAGGGTACACCCTGGATGGGACGCCAGTCCTTCACCTGACACGCACACACTCGCACTAGGGCCAGTGTTCCCAGAAGCCAGTATGTCTTTGGACTGCATGAGGAAATCCACACAAACGCAGAGAAAACACACAATCTCCACCCAGTTAGAGCCCCAGGGACTGAGCCCAGGGCCCCAGTACTGTGAAGCAACAATGCTGGCCACTGTGCCTTTTTGCTGCCTGCTGTATTACTGATAACGCAATCAATGTCTACATTTTTTTTATTTTGTAATGGGGAAGTTGTGCTTCAAAGGTTTCATATTTACCAGCTCTTCATAATGTTTCCTGTTGACCTATCTGTAGGAGTTTTCTAGCTGAACTGGTGACCAGATGATTTTGCTTTTTTATGGAGCATGATTTTCACTGCTAACTGCAGAACTGTACAGTCCTGTAGGTATTAATTGGGGAAAAAATATTTCCCTAGACCTGAAAGCATTTCTGGGAAATCTGAACAAACAATACTGGAAATGCAATGCATAACTTTGTCTTACTTTAGACCTACAATCACTGGAGCCTGTCCCTAAAGTGGTATTGATTTATAACCACAGGAAAAAAAAATATTTTGCCAGCTACACAATTTGACAGCTACTTTAAGTAAGAAGTTTATAGATGATTTATATTTGACCAAGCCGAAAATGAAAACTGGATCTAATGATCAGTTGCCGGTGTGGTGGTGTGGATCATATCCTGTACAGCTGGTCTCTCGTTGCAATGCCAGTACATCCGAATGTTGTGCGGTCACAGTTAATGTTGAACTTGGGCACATCTCCAGGGCAATAGTGCTTCTGATACTTGCAAAAGACTTGTTAACATGGCACGTAGCTCAAGAGCATTTAGCATTTGGGGAATCATATGACGTGTACTACGTCCTTATAATGACTGGATGTCTTTGTCAAGTATTCATGAAGGCGAGTATCTAACAAAAGTCGGAGAGCTTTAGGACTTTTGCGACTTTCACTGTATTTCCTATTAAATTCAAGAGAGTGCTACTTTTTCAGCAGGTGCGTCGTGTGGCGTCACGTTGAATTTAGCTAAAACATGAAACTGCGTTACATAATTATTTATTTATCAAGAGGTTAGTATTAAAATATGAAATACAGGTTAAGTACTAGGGTACAGGGCAGTAATGGCTCGTTTAATAAACATTCGACCTTTTTTGATTACTTAGAGAGGTACTTTGTAAAACTTTGTAGTACTTGCAGGAAAACAAAGAAGTAATATCTCGAACAAGATCTCATTGTTAACCTTATATTTTACATTTTCACGCAGCGTTTTGCCAAGATCGTGGAATAAAGGTTATTGTAAACTGCGTAGATTAGATGAAATCACATAGGCTTAAGGTTGTTCTGTTAGACCCCTGCCAGGCTAATTTAAGCCAATTGAAGTTAATGTGTCAATTTCGAATAATGAAAGATGTTTTTTTTTTCTGTACGCATAATTTTAAGGCAACTATTTAATACATTAACATTAACATTTAACATTAAATTATTAATAAATGAGACTGGGTGCATTTTAAACGAGCCTATCAATGCATTTGTCATTAAAGCTTATGTGACATGTTCATTGTTCACTCCCAACCCCCCAAACTTTCTAGTGACATTACGGGATGCAATATTGTTACTGAAGCCCACCTCTGAAGTCAGTTTTTGGAAAAAAAAAACACTTCTTTTGGGAGCGAGCGGTCCCTGCACCTTTAAGAGGCTGTCTGCCTGTAGCTGAAGGTCACTAAATACAAAGGCTCTTAGCGCTGCGGTCCAATATAGCGCATGCGCCCTGCCCGAGGACTGACAGAGAGACTGCAATATGGCGAGAATGCCTGGCAGCGGAGATTGCTATACCGACACAGAGGGGGCTGAAAATGAGCAGATGTGCTACCTGGAGAGGAGCGACGAGGAGGAGGATGAGATTCAAGAAATACAGATAACGGGGGAGGAGGAGGATGAGTATGACCAGGATATCAGCCTGGAGTGGGAGGCGGGGAGCGAGAGTTGCTCCGCGGTTGAAAGGGAAACGGTCCTTATGCGGAGTACGGACCAGGGCAGCGAGCTGGACTCGGAGGCAGATCCCTTTCACATCGCCGTGCTGGACTCGGACCTGGAGGGGGACTTGCAGCGCTCGGACCGGTCCAGGCTGAGCGAGAACACTCGCTTAGCCACCAGGTATGCGGTCAGGATATTCCGGGAATACCTGAGCGAGAAATCCCAAAGTCCCGACTTTGAGACCATGGACAAGGAGGCGCTGTGCAAGGTGCTCAGGTCTTTCTATGCAGAGGCGCGCTCAAAAAGTGGGCAGCTGTACAGCAAGTCCTCTCTCATCAGCATTAGGAGCTCGCTGAACAGGTACCTGAATGAGCCGCCTTACTGTCGCACTTTAGATCTGACCAAGGACCCGGAGCTGCGCAGTGCCAACCTGACGCTGGCAGCTGTGATCAGAAAGTTGGAGGAACAAGGTGCAGGTCCCGTCGTGCAGAAACAAGCCATCACCCGGGCCGACCTGAGAAAACTGTACACTTCCAGCGTGTTCAACACAAACACGCCTTTCGGCTTGCTCAACAAAGTCTGGTTCGAGACCTGCATGTATTTCTGCACAAGGGGGAGGGAGAACCAGCGAGAGCTGGAGGAGGACTCCTTCGGGCTGGCGATCGACGAAGATGGGAGAAAGTTTATCTACTTCAAGGCGCTGGGGCCGTACCACAAGTCCCGGTCCGCTTCCTGGAGCAAAAAAAGGACAGACACCGACGAGGACAACCTGCCCCGCATGTATGAAACGGGCACGGAGTTCTGCCCGTACGCCAGTTTTGTGAAATACATCTCCAAAAGGAATCCGCTGTGTAAGGCGTTTTTTCAGAGACCCAGGGATCACTGCAGCGAGGGCGACATGACCTGGTACGAAAACAAAGCGATCGGTAAAAACTTGCTGGGCACCCGAATGCAGATGCTGTCCAGGGCTGCCAAGCTGTCCAAGACCTACACCAACCACTGCATCGGGGCCGTCTCTGTCGCAACTCTGAACAGCATAGCGGGCATCGGGTCAAAGTTAGCGCCTCGCCACATCGCTCCGGAAACGGTCCACGTCGCCCAGCATCACTTCCAACTGGTTGTGCCCTTTATGCATCAGGTCGAAGACTGCATCGAAAGTAAACCCCCGAACTCCAGCAAACGACCGCGGCCGATCTACCCCGCGGAAGGGACTGGACGGTCTTCCCCTAAAAAGCTGTGCGTGCGGTCAGCGGAGCTCGGCGACTCCCCGGTCCTGATCGCCGTGAGCGCAGACCCGCCGCCCATCGCTGCGCCCGAGTTGAACGGGCAGGTAGCCGCCCCCTCGCCAGCGATTGTACTGCCCGCGCAGGTAACAGCGATTCAGTCTCTTTCGTGGTACGGCGTAACGAAAGCACAAAAAAAACACCGAAGCACAGAAACGGCAACAAAAAAAAGTTTGGCAAGTTTTGTTACACTTTTACATTGACAGAACTCGTCTTTGGAGCTTGTGGACTTTACTTTTAAACTAAAGTAAGTTCTGGTTGCATTTATCTTACGTGCATATTAAGTCCAGTCCTTCTCAACAATGTAAAATATATATTTCTTTAAATTAACGATTCCCATTTTTAAGTTATTGCAATGGTTTTTATATACAGTATATAATGACATTACAGAAGAAGTTGTATAGACTTTTTTTACATAAAGCGATGCTTCTGATTTCACTGGAAACAAGGTCCATTTTATTCTGCCTCCTGAGTTTGCATTCTGTACTTTGCAGTCTCGTAAAACGTGCAGTTACTGGGAATATTCAATGACGGTAACTTTTTGACAAGTTCCGGCAGGTTGATAAAGTGGTTAACAACACATTGAGGCAGTGATCTGTTTAAAGCGTTTATTGATTGACGCCATGTACTTAATTCTGTTCGCTTTTCCGTCGTTCTGGATCTGTGTATAATTACTGTGCAGCACCAAATATTGTTATTGCAGTATTATGTGGGTGTGTTGTAAATTAAGAGAGAGCAGGCACGTTTTGCAATGGATCAATCCAGCTGTGAGCTATAGCAATTGGAGGATGAATATTTTAACTGCACTACACCACTTCCGGGGTATATTAACAGGTCCAGAGGTGAAAATAACTTACTGTTTAAGTAAAATATATGTTTTATTTTTGGGATATAATCACTTATCAAAACTTGCTGCTGTGTTTGCAAGTTGTTTCACTCTGGAGTCCTGCACACCAGACCCAGGCCACCTGACTGGGCAGAAAGGGAGCATAATACCACTGCAGTAGCTCAAACCATATCTGGGCATGACTTTTCATGCATCTGCTTGTACTTCAGTGTCTTCAGTCAGAGGCCTTGGTTTGCTCAGTGTCACAGTTTTTGAACTTGTGTGGGAGGTTGGGCTCATGACCCGACTGATGCTGTAGAAGCTTGCTTGACACTGGGAGTCCTTGCTTTGCTTCAGGCTGTGTTGGCATAGCCGAGCTGCCGAAGAGCGGGTGCGCATGTGTATATATACAGGCATTAGACTAGGATTTTTAGACAATAGTTGTAAAATATATTGGTTACTTTCTTTGTACATTATATATATTTACTGGGAGGCAATAAAGGTGCAAAAAAACGTACTGAAGCCAATATAATTTGTTGTGTTTTAACGCGTGTGCACGTGTGTATATTTACATTCTAAACGGAACCATACTGTATCACTCCTATACTGTTTTAGCTGGTTCACATTGTTAAAATGTATCACAGCGTATTGGTTTGGGAAGTTAATCATCCCAATTCTGGTTTCACTGCTGGTAGACTTTAAACTGACTGCTTGATTAATAAACATCCCATGGCACTCTTCGAAAGACTAGGGGTGATATAAGGTCTGTTCGACCTGAATACTCCCATCATTCATATGGTAAGTTAAAGCTGATTTCTCCCATCACTCCCTGACTTGTCACAGGGCTGCTGGTGTTCAGTGGCTGCACAGCGTGTCACCCAGACAGAGCTCGATGGCCTAGTTGCCTCCTCTCATTTTTACAATTCTTACAAGTAAAGCAGTGTAAAGGTTTCTCCTGGTTATAATCATGATTAGTGTTACAATACAGACCTGTATTTTTGAACATGTAGACAATACTTTTAAAATGCACCATTTGGTCCCTAATTTGTGTCTTCCCCACAGCGATTAGGAAACTTTACACGCAAAAACAGTGTTACAGTAAATGTAACTACTGTCTTTAAAGCACACTACAGTAGTTCCTAAAACAGTCTTTCAGAGACACTGTTGGCTTCAGAGTATAACCCTTAATGGTTACTGTTTGCCCAGCTATTTTTGAGAGGCTGACCCGTTGTGGATAGTGTCTGGGTGGGATGATGCACGTTCCAGTTGATGATAGTCCTCACTGTGTTGGAAGGGATAAATTAGCCTTCTCCCAATCTGTACTTCTCTGCCGCTTTTTACTTGATGTGTTTCAAAAGCTCTTAGGATGCTGTTGCATCTCTGCATTTATTTTGAAAGAGAGAGAGTGTGTTCCGGGGGGTGTTGAATTGTCACTTTGGGGAATACAGCAGCACTCCTTGATATGAGCATCCTGACTGTATAACTTGATCGGACATTAGGAAATGTAACTGTTATTATATTTCATAATTGTTAAATACTGAGCAATAGCTCAGTTGTTGGCTGGTATATAATTGATCTAAAGATCTTGCCTAACTGTTTCTTAAAAGATGTCAGGGTATCGGCTACAGTATAATGACCTTGTTTCAGACTCCTACAACTCTTTGTGTACTAAAGTGCCTCATGTTCTTAGTTTTGAATGCACTTCAGTTTCATTTTTTGTTCTCTGGTTTGTGTTTCACTGTTGATTCTAAAAACGTCCACTGGGTTAAATTTGTCAGTGCCTTTGGGGATTTTGAATGCTTGAATCAGGCTGCCTTGTAATTGTGTCTGTTCAAGACCGAGTCACAGTGGTTTGAGTCAGTCAGAGTAGGACATTCCTTTTAAACCAGGGAATGTATCTGGCTTGTCTTCTCTGGATTGATGCCAGAGAAGCAATATCTTTTGTGTTGCATGGTGACCAAAATTGTACACACTCTTTTTCATTAGGAGTTACTAGGACATTAAGATTCCTTAATTTAAATTCCATTCCATTAAAAAACGTTTGTCTATATACCTTAACATGGTTTATCTGTAGTGATCAGTAGCCCTTTAAGTAGTATATGAAATAAACTATCATAGGTCTACTAAAGTATGGGAAAGATTCAGGGAACTGTTTGCTTACTGATGTTTGTGAAACTCATTGTTCTTTTTTGTTCTTTTACATTTTACAGATTTGAGAAAAGCTTTTGACATATTTAGGTTAGTGGAATGTAGAAGATGAATGTAGCACACATATAAGAGTTCTGTGGTAGCTGCTCAGGGTGGAAGCATACTGTAAAGAGCATCTGCCGTGATAAATGTGGGCCCTGTGCGTCAGCGTTGTTCAAGTGCTGAGTTGGAATTTAGCATTCAACCACATATACACAAAAAGTTGTTAAATGTAACTGCTGTCGTTAAAGCACACTATAGTATGGGATGTTGGCGAACAGTATCCTGCTAGACGTGCATCATGGTGTGCTTTTATGCTAATTCTTGCTGTTCCTCTAATAAGAAAGCTTAGTCTAAACTTTTAAGTCATACGGTAAGTCTTTCTGAAATGGTAGAAGACTGTAGCGATTGGAAGGAATTATAATTTTTCCTAGTGGGTCCCTGTACAGGAAGTAAGGACTTTTTTTTCTGCTCAATTTTGGAACTGCTCGTAATTGAAGACGTCCTGCCTGGAACAGATAAGCCATTTAAATTAGTGACAAAAACTGGGCTCCTGCGTCAACCGAGATGACATCTTATGAACCGCTGCATCAATTGGACTGAAATGTGAAACAGTTATGGGTCGTAATTATTTTTGAGAAACACAGCTAATTAGCTTGCAGCGAATGTTTGATATCACGGCGTATTCACATAGCGCTCTTCTTGCCGAAGGAGAGCCCGGCACTTCGCATCTGAGGAGGAGACGCACTGAAGTGCAGCCCCACTGCAGATCAGGTAGAGAAGGGAGGGAAGAAGGGATGCCAAGGACCAGGTAAAGGTTTACTCCATGGTGAAAGCACCTGAAGAAGGCTCCACAGCTGAAACGTTGTATCTCTTTTCTTTTTCCTTCAGCATGGATTAAACCTTTACCTGTTCCTTTGCAGCCTACATCTTGAGAAAAACTGATGCCCCATTCGAATTAGGGGGGCACTTTACACACGCAGAGCTCCCTAAGGCTGGCCTCACCACTCGCTGCTCTTGTTCCAAATCTGGACTTTAAACGTGATGTCATTGTAGTGACCATGCAGTTCCACTACGGCATCATAGGATTTGTTTGTACGGCATGATGATCCCCAGCACAAATTGCTTGGTCAGTTAACTCCACACTTCCTTGTGTGAGAATACAATTTAACTATCGCAGTAGAGAGGTTCCTGTGAAAGTGGGGACGCCATCTTTGGAACTGCTGCATCAACTATGTTCAGTCTTTGCAGGTTTCGTCAGCCCTCAAAATTGCTTTAGACTCACACCCCCATACAGCAATTCCTTACAGCATATAGCACTTCACTGCTTTTATGCCCAAAACCATGACCTTGTTTTAGGCCTTCCTTTCAAGTTATAATAGTAACCTGATTGCCTTTTTGTTATATTTTTAACATACTGTATGGACCAAACTGCTGGTGAAAAATTGTTTAAATCGGAACTGCAGTGCAATTTTTGTGTTTCTGGGTTAGAAAGAATCGGCATCGATGAGTGCAATGAAAGTAAAATAAATATACATTGTAATGTGTGAAACCTCCAGTTTACATCGCAAAATACGCAGGATTTCCAGGTATGCATCACGCCATCTATTGAGATTCAGAACACGGCAAGCAAACTTACCTATGACATCGTAATCAGGCAGGCTTGTGAATACATCTCTTTTAATCCAATAGAAATATTGCTCTCGATTTTGAGATGCTTTGGCCAACAAATGCTATTTACTTATTTCTGCACACAGATCACATTGGAACATTTCTGTGGTGAAGTGTCTGCTGCACAGCCTGTACTTTCTTGCTCATACATCACAGTACATCAGTCATTACAGTGACCAGCAAGCGGAAAGGGCTGGATCATGTCACAATTCACGCAATCTCTTGCCTTTATAAAACTATATAGTACTTTACTTAGTTTGCAATTTTGTGCTAAAGTAAATGACGGTATCACATAATTCACTTTGTTATTGATATTTAATAACCGGTCTGAGAAATTGGGACCGTGGCTCCCATTTAATACTACAAACAGCCCTCAAAACAGGCTGACACCTTGAAACTCTA